CGCGATCTCGGCTCACCGCAACCTCCGCCTCCTGGGTTCATGCAATTCTCCTGCCTCAGCCTCCTGAGTAGCTGGGATGACAGGCACGAGCCACCATGCCCAGCTAATTTTTTGTATTTTTAGTAGAGACGGGGTTTCACCATGTTGACCAGGATGGTCTCGATCTCTCGACCTCGTGATCCACCCGCCTCGGCCTCCCAAAGTGCTGGGATTACAGGCTTGAGCCACCGCACCCGGCCCCCATTTTTCAATTCTCAACTCCAACAGACTCCAGCAATCTCAACACTCCATTCCCACCCCTTGCCTGGTTCTCTCTCTGAATTCCAAGGCTCCACCAGATCAGAATGAAATGAGAACAAGTCCCAGAGTACCATTCCCATCACCTCCTGTCTTCTCCACAGCAAAGAAAGGTAGAAAATTTTGGAAGCTTCTACATCCATCCAGCAGGGTGGATGAGGGTCTAGGTAGATGCTTAGTAAATGAAATCACCATGCTCCTCTGCTGCCCGCCTCCTTAGGGTCACAAAGCACTCTTCCCTCCACAACTGCATTAATGCTCCCACCTGCACGGGAGGAAGGCAGGGCGCACTCAGATCGCAATCCCCATTTTACAGGGAGAAAGCAAGAACCCAGCAGGGGAAGCAACTTGCACAGTGACAGGACAGGTAAGGGGTGGAGCTTGGGCTGGCAGCTCCGCTGGTAGACAGGGCTACTCCAAGCTTTTAATTGTGGGGGCGGGGTTGCTGGGCTGTTTCATCAAGGGCAGCTGCTCTCAAAGCCAGCATTGGCCTGAGCAGCTGAGAAGACGGAAGACACAGGGAGAATACCTTGGGGAAGGGAGGTGGCAGTTCTTTCACTCCAGAAGGTGCCTGTACCAGCAATAACCCAGACTTTCTCTAGTCTGATATTGAGGCTTTAGCTAGAAATGTGTAGAGAGAGTGATGGAGGATTTTATTTCTAGCTAACTTAAGGTTTTATTTTACCATTAAAGAGTGTGTGTATGGTAGGGATTGGAGAACTATAAATTATAAGCTTTTTTTTTTTTTTTTGAGAAGGAGTCTCACTCTGTGATCAGGAGTACAATGGCATGATCTCCACTTACTGCAACCTCCACCCCCTGGGTTCAAGCAATTCTTCTGCCTCAGCCTCCCAAGTACCTGGGACTACAGGCACCTGCCACCACACCCAGCTAATTTTTGTATTTTTAGTAGAGACAGGGTTTTACCATGTTGGCCAGGATGGTCTTGATCTCCTGACCTCATGATCTGCCCGCCTCAGCCTCCCACAGTGCTGGGATTACAGGTGTTAGCCACTGCACCCGGCCAAATTATATGCTTTTTAGTTACTGGACAAGATTTAAGTTAGGGCTTGGGATCAAAGCAGGGCCGTGTGGTGTGAGGGGAGGAGGTGAAGACGGAAACTAGCTGTTACTTAAATGTAACTTGAGTTTCAGTCTTCCAATCTGTAATAAAGAGATACGAATACCCTCTACCCACTTCAGAGGGATAGGTAAGAATGTGTCTACAAGTAAGCATAAAAGTAGTAGTAGGCAGGGTGGGGTGATTCACCCCTATAATCCCAGCAGTTTTGGAGGGCGAGTGGGGAAGATCCCTTGAGCCCAGGAGTTGGGACACTGCAGTGAGCTATGGTCATGCACTGCACTCTAGCCTGGGCAACAGAGCAACACCTTGCCTTGAGGAAAAAAAAAAAAAAAAAAAAAAAGGCCGGGCATGGTAGCGGCTCATACCTGTCATCCCAGCATTTTGGGAGGCTGTGGTGGGAGGATCACTTGAGCCCAGGAGTTCGAGACCACCTTGGGTAACAGCAAAATCCTGTCTCTATAAAAAGATACACCCTTAAAATTTAGCTGGGTGTGGTGGTGCACATCTGTAGTCCCAGCTACTCTGGGAGCTGAGGTGGGAGATCACCTGAGCCCAGGGAATTCCAGGCTGCAGTGAGCTGAGATCGTGCTACTGCACTCCATCCTGGGTGACAGGTAAGATACCCTGTCTAAAAAGAAAAAAGAAAGAAAAAAGAAAAACAGAAAAAGAAAAAAAAAGTAGTAAAATAACACATGTATTAAATGTTTTTTAACTCTTCTTTTGTGTCGAGCACTGTTGTAAGCACTTTGTAAATATAACTCATTTACCCCGCATCACAACCCCAGGAGGACACTGAAGTACAGAGAGGTTATATGAGCTGCTCAAGGTCACACAGCCAGTCTGTGGTAGACCCAGATATGGACCCAGGCTGCCTGGCTCAAGTGTATGCTCTTAACCACTACACTTTGCAGAGATATCTGCAAACAGAAGAGCCACTTCCACCAGGCAGCCGGAGGCAGCCAGTTACCACTCTGGAGAAATGCCTTACCCTATTTCTACCCATTTGCCTTTCCTCTTGCTTGTAGCTTCCCTCCACTCAGGCCTTGGGTTTGTGATTTCAGGTTCTGAGGCAGGTGTAGGGGACAGGCACCACAGTCTGATGGTTAAGAGCACAGACTCTAGGACGTGACAGACCAGGCTTCTAACCTGGGCAAATTACTTAGTCACCCTGGGCCTCAGTTTCTTCATTTGTAAAACAGGACAATAATCCAGTTGTGTCGTTGTTCTGGGGATTAAACAAGATGACTTACATAAAACTCTTAATATAGTTCAAGGCATATAATGGGCTCCAGAAATTAGCTATTGTTATTAATAAGGTGTGGAATAAAAGGGGTTGGCTTAGAGAAAGAAAATTGGTAAAAATAGAAATAAGATAAAAACACAGAATTTAACGTGATAGAAATATGACAGAGCCCCTCAGTCATGTTGGGCTTCTTATTTAGACCTAAATTTACACTGTGTTAAGGACAAGACCACTGAGTGACATGAAATATTCTCACTCTTTGAACATACCCTATCCATCTGCAGCAGCCTGGGAGGTGGAGGCATGGGAGAGTGATGGGTCAGAAGTTCAGAGGCGATAACCCATTATTGATCAACTACCAGGCAGGATGCCAAGCTCTTTACTTCTGTTACCTTGTTTGTTTGATCCCCATGATAAACCTTGTAAAGAGGTGGTAGTAACCACACTTTTTTTTTTTTTTTTTTGACACAGAGTCTCACTGTGTTACCCAGGCTGGAGTACAGTGGTGAAATCTCGGCTCGTTGCAACCTCCGCCTCGCAGGTTTAAGCCATTCTCCTGCCTCAGCCTCCCAAGTAGCTGGGATTACAGGTGTGTGCCACTATGCCTGGCTAATTTTTTTTATTTTTAGAAGCGATGGGGTTTCACCATGTTGGCCAGGCTTGTGTTGAACTCCTGACGTCAGGTGATCTGTCTGCCTCAGTCTCCCAAAGTGCCAGAATTACAGGCTTAAGTAGTTTTTTAATGGAAACTGAGGTTCAGACAGGTTAAGTAACTTGTCAAGGTCACACAGCTGAAGAATGGTAGAGGTAGAATTTGAACCCAGGTCTCTGAGACTCTGCTTTACTTGAAGGGAACTTGTATGATGTCCAAAGGGGGTTCTTAGTTACCCACTGCCTGCCTTCTACCTTGCCATGTCCCCACCCACCCACAGGCTGAGACTGCACTGAGTGAGCCAACAGCAGGCCCCAGCATGTGCCACCTGGGACATGCCAGGGCCTGGACCCTCTGGTGCCCTGGAGGACAATCATGCTGCCAGCACACCCCCACTTGAAGCCTGGTTGACACTCCCACTCCCCTCCTCACCCTGGCGTGGGAGGCAGGACGGGCCCCTCCTTAGCAGGTGTTGGGCACACACAGCCCCATTGCTCCTCGGCTGCTGCAGACCGGTATTGGGTAGGCAAGCCCCAGCCCCCAGAGCAGTAGAGTGCTCAGGCTTGCCCTGAGCGGCCAGACCTCTGCCTAGGGGACCCAGGCAGGTGGCAGCACAGAGCCCCAAGGGCAGCCAGCCCCTCTGACCTCTCCTCCCCACTTCCCAAGCGTCCTTTCCTTTTCTGGGGAACAAGACGCCAAGCTTTGGGACTGTTCCCCCTAGACAGTCAAGAAAGCCAAGAGGGACGAAACGGCGCCCCCTCCCCCCAACAGGGCCTTTGCCCCACTCTCGGTTCCGTGTCTGAATCTTTTCCCTACCGCACCCTCCAACGCAGGCCCGGGCGGCTCATGAATGAACTGCACTGTGTGGGGCGCAAGGAGAGGACACGCTCCTGGGTCCGGCCGCCTCCCCAGCCCGCCGACCAGTCAGTCCCCAGACCGGCCGGGGGCAGCGGCCGGCCTCGTGCCAGCACCTGCGAACCCTGCCCTTGCCGGAACCCGAGCCCGAGCCCGAGCCGGCTATGGGTGTACTAGCCCCCGGGAGCAGCAGAAAAAAATAAGAGAGATCGAGGGCATCAGACTTGACGACCCCGGGATCCAAAACTCGGGGGCGGGGGCCGCTAGTTCTCCACAGCGGCAGCGGGCAGGCGGGGCGCTGCCGACACCCCAGAGGGGCGCTCTGGGGACGCGCACCTGCACCGGGCAGGTGGGAGAAGAGTGCACTAGGGGGCCGGGGGCGGGGGTCCCACCCCTTGGGATCTCCCCGGGGTTGGGGAGAGCGGGCGGCGCTTATCTGGACCTCCGGCAGCGGGTGGAGGACTCACATTTGGCTCGGGATGGTGCGGGGTTGGGGGCAGCGCGCACTACCGCTGAGTCCCGCGGGCCCGGGCACCTCTGGGTCCCGCAGGAGGTTGAAGGGAGGGGACGCGCAGCTGAGTCCAGGTTTTTTCTTTGGGTGGTGGTGGTGAGATCTTCGAAGAAAAGAGCGAGGGCTGGGGAGGGGTCGCGTACTCACCCCCAGGCGCAGACTCGGCTCCAGCTCGGAGCCCCAGGTTGGGGCGGGGCGGGGATGGGGGAGGGGGAGGGGGAGTCACTGGGCGGCTCGAGCTCCGGGCTCCTGCGGCGGCCGCGGCAGTGTATGGGGGAGGGGGAGCGGGAGGAGGGAGGAGGAGGGGGCGGAGCTCCGCAGGGCCCGCCCCCCACGCCGGCGCACGCAAGGGGCGTGCGTGCGCGCACTCTCAGATCGCGTCCACCGCGTTGGGCCTGTAGCGCAGGCGCTGAGGGGAGGCCGCGTGGGGCGAAGGCGGCGCTTGTCCGGTGGGTCCCGCTGCGGGGTTTTCCCGGGCAGCGAGAGCGGTTTGTTGGGGGGCAGGGGTGGGCGTCAAGCCCCTAAGTCTCTCTTTCGCCTCCTCCTTTCCTCCAGTAGGGGAGGCCCACTCTCCTGGGTGAGGAGAGGCCAGAGTGGGAGGCTTGTGGGCGCTTTGGGGTAGAGGGTCGGTGGGAGGGGTCCCAACGGGAAGGGGAGGCCCATGACTTGGACTCTCCTCCCTTCTGCTCTCCTTGGGCGTCTTCTGCGACCCCTAAGTCCGCGGCCTGCGCTCACCTGCTTTCCCCGGGTTGCGGAGCAGTACTGGGGAGGTCGGGCTGCGTTCAGCCGCCGCAGGTCACTCCGGCGCGTCTCCTCCACTCTCCGCGCCGCCCTCCCCTTTCCCGACTTGGTTTTGGAGATGAGTTAGCCAGACGCCTCTGTGGTGTGTGGAGTGAGTTCTTGCTTTCACTCTGTCACGCTGATGAGTGCGCCCTCCCCCCAGGCCAGGGGGTTCCCTGGTTTCTCATTTCACTGGAGATTGCATCTGCCAGTGATTAAGACTGGAAAGGTGGGGAGACTGAGACTGTATGTATCACCCACACAAATACGATCATAGAGGCACAACGGACACCAACTTGGTGATTTAATTTTTGGTTCCTGGAGGGGACAAAAAGGCAGTATGCTTTCCACAGCGGACGATAAATGAACTTTGCCACCATAAGAGATGGATGAGACTGAATATATAAAGAGCTTAAGAGGGCATGTGACAGACACCTTGGGGTACTTGGGAAACTCTGGGAGTTAGGGAGATACTTAACTCCCCGGGCGGGTGGTGGTGGGAACTGCCACTGCCGGACAGAAGGACATTGCCTACCTGGGGAGTTTGGGTCTTGTAGTTGGTCAGCTTCTCTGCTGTATGCTGGCTTTTCAAGGGATCATTAGTAGCTTGCGGAATGCAACTGTAAGGTTTGATTTATTTGCAGTGTTTTTCAAAGTGAATCCTATTGGTGAGTTGGAAATTAGATCACTGCCTTTAAAAAAAATGAAATAGGCCGGGCGCAGTGGCTCACGCCTGTAATCCCAGCACTTTGGGAGGCCAAGGCGGGTGGATCACGAGGTCAAGGGATCGAGACCATCCTGGTCAACATGGTGAAACCCCCTCTCTACTAAAAATACAAAAATTAGCTGGGCATGGTGGCGCACGCCTGTAATCCCAGCTAGTCAGGAGGCTGAGGCAGGAGAATTGCCTGAACCCAGGAGGCGGAGGTTGCGGTGAGCCGAGATCGCGCCATTGCACTCCAGCCTGGGTAACAAGAGCGAAACTCCGTCTCAAAAAAAAAAAAAAAAAAAAAAAAAAGAAATAGAAAATATCAGAGGGTGTTGCACTTATTAAGGGTATTGTTTCTTGACATTTGCTTCAGGTGTACACACACGTGTGAGTGTATGAGTAGGTGTTCTACAATGTGTTTCTGTAGGTAGCAGTGAGAAAAGCTTGAAAAGCAGTGGTCTCCTGTATCCTGCTATTTGCCTTCTTGCCTTTCTTTGTCTGAGTTTTCAGTCACTTAAAATTGTCCGTGATTATGCAATCAGCATACTAGGAATACACAGTAAAGAACAAAGTGGATGTTCTTCATGGAGTTTACTGTGTAAGACGAAAGACAGTTGACTATTCATCACTGGAAATACTATACGTGCTATTGAAAAACAGGGATTTTATTGAGTTAAGAAGTAGGCTGGCTTGGCTGGGCGCGGTGGCTCACGCCTGTAATCCCAGCACTTTGGGAGGCCAAGGTGGTTGGATCACGAGGTCAGGAGATAGAGACCATCCTGGCTAACATGGTGAAATCCCTTTTCTACTAAAAATATAAAAAAAATTAGCCAAGCATGGTGGCATGCGCCTTTAGTCCCAGCTTCTTGGGAGGCTGAGGCAGGAGAATACTTGAACCTGGGAGGCGGAGATTGCAATGTGCCAAGATTGTGCCACTGCACTCTGGTCTGGGCGACAGAGTGAGACTTCATCCAGGAAAAAAAAAAAAAAAAGTAGGTTGGCTTAATTAGGAAGGGCAGTTTTTTACCTGTGACAGAAAGGAAGATGGAGATAAAGCCTGTTTTTGATAAAGTACCTGGTGGGAAGGGTCTTGTAGGCTCAGACTCTGGGAGTTTTGAAATTGCTTGTGTGGACAATAAAATCCACTTTAAGGTTGAATAGCACTATAATGGATATCTGAAAAATGGAAGTGGAAGCCATAGTTACCTGGTTTTTGGACTTCTAAGCATCACTAGAAGGCATTTTATTTTATTTTATTTTATTTTATTTTATTTTATTTTTTTGAGACAGAGCCTCTCTGTTGCTCAGGCTGGGGAGATCTGGGTGCAGCGATGCTATCTCAGCTCACTGCAGCCTCTTCTGGGCTCTAGCAGTTCTCATGCCTCAGCCTCCCAAGTAGCTGGGACTGCAGGCCAGCGCCACCACTCCTGGCTAATTTTCGCATTTTTAGTAGAGATGGTGTTTCACCATTTGCCCATGCTGGTCTCCAACTCCTGGCCTCACTTGATCTACCCAACTCGACCTTCCAAAGTGCTGGGATTACAGGAGTGAGCCACCTTGCCCAGCCAGAAGACATTTTAAAAATATTTTTATTTTTTACAAAATAGTATAGTTATGAATCTGAGCATGTGGATTCTTGAGCTATTTCTGCCTGTGCCTAAATAGGGTTAGCACCTAATCCTCAAGGAGTGTGTGAACCATCAAGTGACACTTTCCAGGGCAAGCATTTCAGAAAGCCTGAAATGAGAATTGAGTGCCTTGTGGAATCCATTAGGGAACAGTGGCCAAAATATTTTATTATTGCCCCTGAATATTAAGAATAAAATGTTTCCCTGGGTGGGAGGGGCGGTGAGGAATAACAACAACAAAATTTCCCTGGAGTTCGTTTTTCAGGTGGTTGGGCACTGAACATGGTTATTTAGACTCTCCTTAGCTCCTAGAATCTTCAGTGTTGGGACAATCCTTTAAAACCTATTTTGCTCCACTCCTGTCTCTGGGATTATGATACCTGGGCCCACCTAAGATGGATTTTCCCACTGTCAGGTTACTTAGATAGGTCTTATGGCTGACAGGGGAGGGGAGGGGATGGGGGCTTGAAAAGCAGGTTATGGTTTAGCCTTCTTTTTAATAGGCTGATGGTTTGTCTGGGTTGTAGCTTATCCTGTTATGATTTTACATGTGTATTGACAGTGACAACTAGTATGCAAGAGAAGATTGTGGTTCAGATCTCAGAAATGTTCTGGGTCAGGTAATATGCTGAATATTTAAATAGGCAGTAGTAAAGTAGCTTACCATTCATTAGTGAAATAGCTCAGAGTAGGAAAGCCCTCTGTTAAAAACTCAAAAAAAAAATCGGGGCCGGGTGAGGTGGCTCATGCCTGTAGTCCCAGCACTTTGGGAGGACGAGGCAGGAGGATCACAAGGTCAGGAATTGAGACCATTCTGGCTACAATGGTGAAACCCTGTCTCAACCTAAAAAAAAAAAAAAAAAAAACAAAAAAACAAAAAACAAAACTTTAAACATTGGCTGGGCACTGTGGCTCACACCTGTAGTCTCAGTACTTTGGGAGGCTGAGGTGGGCACATCATGAGATCAGGAGTTCAAGACTAGCCTGGCCAACAAGGTGAAGCCCCATCTCTACTGAAAATACTAGCTGGGTGTGGTGGCGCATACCTATAATCCCAGCTACTCAGGAGGCTGAGGCAGGAGAATTTCTTGAACTGGGACCAGGAGGGTGGAGGTTGCAGTGAGCCGAGATTGTACCACTGCACTCCAGCCTGGGCTACAGAGTGAGACTCATCTCAAAAATAAAAATGAAAATAAAGTTAAAAAATTGTTTATGTCTTTAGAAAAGACAGAAAGCACTTTACCATGTTTACTCTAAACTGAAAACACTTTCAGGGCTGTTATCTTAAAGTGGCACCCATGGTGCTGCCTGGAGAATCAGGGAGCGAGCTTGTTCTTGCTGGCCAGGATCTGGTAAACAAACTATTTATCCTGCAGAACTAGTCCCTACTGGATAATTCAGAGAAGGATTGTCCACATTAAAATGATCTCTTACATGATGAAGCTAAAGCACTTCCATTTCCAGACCTCTTTGCTTTTCCCAATAAGATCTTTTTTTGACAGAGTCGTTGAGACCTGGACAAGTGATTCCAGGATCACAGACTTAGTTTGAGATGCGGGGAGGATAGAGTGAGATACATGCTTTCCATCAGCAGGATCTCCCAACCCCAGTCTTTAACTTTTCCACACTGCTCTCCTGCCTATTTGACATCTCCATAAACCTGGAGCCCACCTAAACCTGGCCCAATATAGGTGCTAATAGGAAAGGAATTATGTATGCAATTAAGTAGAATTTTACTTTGCCTTGTGCCGTTTTTCTTGAGTTTGACCATATGAAGAATATTACAAATTTATATCTGGATTATAGATGTTTGTACACTTGTGAGGTAGGGATGGGAGGGGGAACAAAACTGGAGTAGATAAAATATGCAAATCTATGCATTGAAAAACTATCTTGAATAATTGAGAATTGTCTAACTACTCCTACTCCTTACCTTTTTTTTTTTTTTTTTTTTTTTGAGACAGAGTCTCACTCTATCACCCAAGCTGGAGTGTTGTGCCAAAATTATGCTCACTGCAGCACCCAACCCCTGAATTCCAGTGATCCTCCCCCACTCAGCCTCCCAAAGTACTGGAATTACAGGTATGAGCCACCACGCCCAGCCTGCTTTAAATATTTTTGCAACAAGGTGGGGCAGAAGTTAGATAAAAAAAGCAAATGTAGGATAAGAATCCTAGACATGTTTTCCCTTGGTGAAATGGGCTTGAGAAATGGGATTTTCTCAGTGGTAGCTTTGGGGGAAACAGCCCATCATGCTACTGAGGGATACTACTTATTGATAGTGCTGCTGTGAAAACACACACCTTTGCAGATGACTCAGAATCAGCTTTAG